GGGGTGTTCTTGAATGGGAATGTTTCCATCTTGGTCATTCTTGACTTGGACGGCTTCCGGGCCTCCACACCAGAAGGGGGAGGAGCGTGAGTGAGTACATTATGTAAATTATGACTTACTGGGGGAATAGGAACCAGACTGACGCTCCCCAGAATGGAAAAGGAGCCAGAACCCTAAGGTTCTGTTTTTCTGGAAAAAAAAAAAGATACTATCTTTGGAAACATTGAGTTGACGTCATCTTCCCTCTCCTCCTCCTTTCGTCTCTCTCCTCTCTCCCTTCGTCCGTGGATGATCTCAGTCCCTGGCCTTTTCGTTTATGTCTGAGGCCAGGGCATTCACACCCCTGATGAATGTTTGAGAGTGTTCGATTGCGGTCCGAGTCAGGTCCGAGTCAGTCCAAAGGTATCTCATGTCTTCCGCTTGCATTTGTATTAACTCTGTATTATCTGGTCGGTTCTGGGAATCTGTGCCATACTTATGACTGTGTTTCACGAGTATGCAACAGTGTGTGTGTGTGCCCCTGGATTCCTCTCCCCCCCCGCCCCCATGGTGGTACAGGAATGCTCAGGCCACTTGATTATTCCTCACCACTCCAGTCCCTAATGCACGGCGGTAACTTACGTAGCCTGACTGCTCAAGGCCAGCTTGGCATATGTACCTTTCCGGCCAGTCATATCACAACAGCTCAACAGCTTTAAGCCTAGACGCCACATGAATTCTTTAAGCTGCTGCTGCTTCTTTTCTTTTCTTTTTTGTTTTCCCTAAGCACCACGGGGAGGAAAATAAGTCTACCTACTCTACTCTGTTCAGAGAGTAATACCGAAGCTCCCAGTCCCCAGCGAGGGATGGTAGGGGCAAGGGCCGAAGGAAGAACCCCGCCTCCGACCAAGACCGGCCAGGGGAGGCAAGCCAACTATCTTAGCTGGTAAACATCAAGCAGGCGGGCGTGGGGGACTGAACCCACGACCCCCTGCATACCACTTGCATGCTCAACTGAGTGAGCTAGGCCGCTGGCCCCTTAAGCTTCTGCTTAATTTCAGAGGCCTATAATAATTCAGTCTACAACAGCTATAAGCCCAGCTGCCACGATCATTTACATGCCCCGATAACATCCTTGACGAAGAAATGAACACTCACTGCCACTCATCAATAACAAAGAGAAACTAATGGCAGTGTGGATGCTGCATTAACTTTTCAGTGTTTTCACCCAAACTTATTGGACAGCCTTAGCGAGTCAAAGCTGCAACAATATTACTGGGGAGGATAAAAAAACGCTGAGGGTTCAACCCTCGGCCATTCTCTTGATGCTACATGCACCAACCTTATCTCAAGGTATTGAAGATATGGATACGCCCCTTCCCCGAACGACGACTTGACGATCGCCTGCGGTAAATGCGTTTCTTGACTGTTACTTGGCAGAGAAGATGTTAATGAAAATGCATCTTACCCTGTCAAGTCTATTCCCAAGTTGTACATTCTCCTCTCTCTGGTTCATGAGCTCCTCCCTCAGCCGCCTGCATACAGGAAAAGAAAACCACAGAGGCTTCAGAAACGACTTTCCACGATCCACAATCCCAATCGTATAAACAAAAGAAAAGAATGCATATGCCATTGCAACGATCCCACAGTTCACACACAGCTTCACATTCATCAACACTCAGGCACAACTTCACACACGCATGAGTTGCACATCATATACGAGTGGAGAACGCTTTTTTGGAATTTGATCGAAGTTCCAAGTCTTATGCAATGAGTCTCACGGATGTACATGCTTGCGGCTATGGCCGCCAAGTTCACACTCAGGCGAGTCCCTATCTCCTCTCCTCTCCTCCCTTCTCCTCCCCTCTCCACCCTACCTCCACCTTACCTCCACCTTACCACACCTTCACCTTACCTCCACCTGACCTCCACCTTACCTTACTGTCACCTTACCGCCACCTTACCTCCACCTTACCTCCACTTTACCTCCACCTTACCTTGCCTTACCTTACTGCCACCTTACCTCACCTTACCTCGCCTTACCTTACCGCCACCTTACCTTACCGCCACCTTACCTTACCGCCACCTTACCTTACCGCCACCTTACCTCACCTTACCTCCCCTTACCTCCCCTTACCTCACCTTACCTCGCCTTAAATTACCGCCACCTCACCTCCACCTTACCTCACCTTACCTCACCTTAACTCACCTTACCCCCACCTTACCTCACTTTGCCTTACCTCACCTTGCCTTACCTCACCTTACCTTACCCCTTACCTCACCTCCCTCACCTTACCTTACCGTATCTTACCTCACCTTACCTTAACTCACCTTGCCTTACCTTACCTATCTATCTACACTACTCCACTCTCACAGGCCTTGCTCACACTCTCGTAATGTCTTTCCTCCACCTCACTCACTCTCGCTATCAGCTATGGCATTGACCGCTGATGACTGCACTATTCTATCACTCAGCCTTACTTGTTGCTTCACTGCGTAAAACACCGCAACAATGCTTCGCGTTAGGCAATAACGGAAATGGCGTTGACATTCTGCTCATGCCGGCCTTATGCACTTGCTGCAGTTCCCGAACTTTGGATCTTTCCAGAACGGCACCCTTGTGATTGCCTGCCGCGGTCTGCATCCGACACTGCGTATTTGCAGACTTTCCTGGGACTGACAAGACTAACACCTACCAACAAATAACAAACTCGGCCTTCCAGATTGCTAACCTACTGGCCTACTTCCACCAGCCTACAGGCTGTACCCGCCACAGCACAGTCAGCCTAGGACCCCTACTGGTTGGGAATATGTTACATGGGACTCTGTGATTTGAAAATGGAGCCAGGACTCTGAAACTTGCAAAATCGTTTCGTCATCAGCGTCATGTCCCTCTGCATCCATGTCAAGATGTAGATGATTGACCCACCCGGTCAAAGTTCACGAGTCAGTCTGCCGGAGAGGAAGAGGAGGGAGAGGGAGTGAGGACACATACGCATCCACTCGTATTACGACTCCACCATCTGTCGACTAAGACAAGGAATGGGCGATGAATAGATGATGAACAGACATTAACTGGGTGATAAACAGATGCATTGTGAAGAGTCACAAGAGTATACAAAGCAACTCAAGCTCCAACATCCTTACAACGGGCTGAACCAGAATACGGCACAACATGTCAGACACCCCCGCACATGAAGTATAAAATCACTCCAGTACTGTCAGTCTGTGTACGAACTTAACACTGTCATGCACATGCAGAAAGTCAGAACCCTATGGAGACCAAGGGCATATCGACACGCAGAGAGAGAGAGAGAGAGAGAGAGAGAGAGAGAGAGAGAGAGAGAGAGAGAGAGAGAGAGAGAGAGAGAGAGAGAGAAGCAATGAAGTAGGGGGATTTATCGTTCTTTGACATTGAGTTGGAATTAGAGGAAGGCACTCAGACCAAAGTAAAGCACAACAGATAGCAGCAGTGATGGTAAGATTCAAACAGCACAGAGCTTAGGGGTATTTGAATCATACGCTTTCTCGAGATTAAGATCTAATCTTTGCCCTGCAGTGACCTTGTCAATCTCATACCTGCAGCAAGAACATTCCACAACCATTTCACAAAACCAGAGCCACCAATCAACTAACTAGATCTCTTGCTCATATTCTTGTCCCCAGGAAGATGGGGAGCGGCAACCATGACGATCCACGACTTCTATTCCCATGGAACTTGCACCAGAACTTGCACCATGAATAACCAAGAGTCCAAGACTTATGCCAAGCTCAAAGATGAGGTTCTACAGTCACAACATCCCACAGGATTCCAGTTTTCCTGAGGAAAAAAGTACTTAGCCTTGTCCTTCATGACATCCATCAAAATTGGAACGATACAGAGAAGATTCGCATGGCCCCAGCGCACAGATGACATGCATGAATCGAGACCGACTCCAAATTTTATATATATATATAAGGTAATTAGCCCTTGAAGACCTTAGCATTACTGTTTCCAAATTCCAACAGCGGGATTTGAATTATTGTCACTCTTAAGTCTTGTGCGAGGATATGGGTCCTCGGCAGGCCTAAGGGGCCCCTTGCAGCATATGCGCCCGCCCTAAGTGAAGGCGGGCCTAACAAATCACGAGAGGCCCTTGGTTGTCAATTTTGCATTTGGGGATCCAGGCAGTTTCGCCGTGGCAGTTGGTTGAAGGGAAACACAGGCCAAGCAGCGTGGACATTCCCAGGCCTTCTAGGCCTTTTCAAAAGCTCAGGCCCTGGGCCAGATTCGCAGCCTCATACACAGACAGTTGGGCGGCCCAACCGAATGAGGCCCAGTAGCTGCACCAGAGGCGCAGCATCCTGGGGCCTACCGGAAGCTTCTGGGCCCAGGCCAGTCCAGCCAGGCTGCCGAACGAGGCAGGCTCTTTCCATATAGGAAAGAGCTCGCTGCCTGGCCAGGGCATTCGGGCACTTGCTGGCTGGCGGCAGCGCTGCTGGAGCAATAGCTCGCGTGCTGGCTGCTGGCATTGGAGCAAGAGGCTGCGCACGTGCGGTCGTGTGATGAAGAAGGGCGCTGCTGAGGGCAGCGCCATAGCTCAGCCTCCATAGCTGGCTGTGGGCTTGGACATACAGTGAGGCGCAGGGGTGGTCTTTGGGTGTACAGAGAGTCAAGGGGGAGAGAGAAGGATGATGATGATGATGTGAGGGCACATACCTGGTATTGGCGATGGTTCTGCATGGGCGACGTCTTCAAGTACTTCGGGTGCATTGTCAATCAGTAGGCTAGTAGTAGCTGTGTAGGGAGTAGGCTGGGCGCTGAGCGCCAGGTAGGGAGATAGAGACTGGATACATATGTTGGTGGTGGCGAGAGCAAGCTCTCATTGACATTGACTTTCAGTGCTACGATTCTCCATTGGTGTTATATTGGTGCAGTGCTGCTTCCTGAACACTGTGTTACGATTTGGCTTTCAATGTGATTGTGTAATCTGAATATTGACATCTCGCTTCCGTTCATTTTCCTTGCACTTGACCAATTTTTAAGCCGGTCCCGTAACACAGAGCAGGGGTAAATCCTTCAATAAAGGAAGCAATCAATGCCGCTGACTCAGAGTACTTAAACCACGATGGAAGGAAGTGTAGAGCGAGTTATCAATGTACGGGATGCTGGACCTGGTTTCCAGCTATTAAACCATTAGAATGTTTCCCAGCCATTTTTCCCTGATGCGCTGCCGCAACTTTCAGGGGTCGGCAGGCGGAGCAAAACGGCTGGCAGCGCCAGCCAAAACAAGGTCCGGGCCGGTTCTTTTCCTTTTCGTGCGCAGGGTTTTTGCAGACCCGGGCAAAACCTCTTCATCACCTGGCGCCCATCACCTGGCCTGGACCAGGGGTCAGCATTTCCTTCAGGTTCTCCCAGTTGGTTTCTTTCACTTTTTCCTTGAGGTTTGAGTCTACATGGGGCACTGGACCGCGTTTTCAGTTTGTGTTTTGAATGTGAAGTTGTGAACTATGTATGTAATGGAACGCTGGACCCGGTTCCCAGCGGGTGCGGCTCCCCACCAATAGACCGGAGCATTTCAAAAAAAAAAAAAAAAAAAAGACGGTTTCCTTTTGTTTTTTCAACAACAAAAACAAAAAACCGGATCAGAAGTACTCGGGGTTTAACAAAGGGGGGTTAAGGGGGCCATAATTTTTTTTCGTTTGAAAAAACAAAAGAGAAAACAAAAAGCCAGTACCATTAACGGCATAAAGCAATTTACCAGCACAATCCCCCTGTATAGCCCCCCCATGGCATCTGCATGTAGTATGACACCCCATACGAATCCCAACTACGCACCCGATTCTCCCTTGTCAGGCCCTCTTCACTGGGGGTGATGTCACCCTTGTTCTTGATCAGGCTAGCATTTGCAAATCAGGGGGATCACGCTGGGGGATCTCTTTCTAGAAATTGATGCTACATTGAGGAGATAACCTACCTGGCGGAGTGTTTATGCTCTGCTACGTGGCTACTCGAATGCCTTCTGCAGCAGTCTACAGGCACGTGACAGGGCCATGTACTTAACTAGAGGAGGGCTACTGCCCATTAGTGCATGCAAAAGGTCCATTTACGTCCCATGATGTTCTTTCCTAGTAATTCCTACCAGAGACATTTGTTTTGGTCTCATGTTGAACGGAGACATCACCCCTGGTTTCTATTTTGTACCCTTGGACCGTTTTCCAGACCGAGTTCGGACCTGAGGGTGCAACAGATTACGACGTTGATCTTGCCCAGGCACGGAGCCATCACCCCTGGTTTCAAGTCACCCTTGGACCGTTTTCCAGACCAAGTTCAGACCTGAGGGTGCAACAGATTACGACGTTGATCTTGCCCAGGCACGGAGCCATCACCCCTGGTTTCTATTTACCCTTGGACCGTTTTCCAGACCACGTTCACACCTGAGGGTGCAACAGATTACGACGTTGATCTTGCCAAGGCTGCCTTTGGGCCCACTTCATATTCCCAGAAGCATGTCCGGTACAAGGACCTTCCAGCATACTCCCTGTTTTAGTCTTACACTCCATTCTACTGGAATGAGTTCTACACCAGGTTCCACCTCCTGGTCCTGGAGAATATCCTGTCCCATGTCCCAGCACTGGAGCAGCTCACAGCAAGATGGACATCACTCCTGAGTTGCTCTAGGATACACATCATCCCCCGGAGATTGAGTCTGATTGTCCTGGAGGAGGACCTCTTCCCTGACCTTCCTATAGCCCAGCTAGAGGACACCAGTACCTGGCGAAGACCCTGTCCCATGTCCCAGTCCCAGGTCCCAGGTCAGCAGGCAGTGGAGACTCTGAGGGATGGTCTAAATTGACAGCCAGGGAGTGTGTAGGGTGCATTCAGTTAAACCACCAGCACCCTGCGGAGAGTGTTCCTGAACCTACCTGCGTCGTTTTCCCTCCTCCTTGGAAAAGCATAGAAGCAGCCACACAACGTCGGACCAACAGCGCTTCCGATTCATTGCACCACCCCTTTTTCCAGTTGCTGTTTCGTTTTTTTTTTGTCGCCTCTGTTCGACACCCGCCCAACTCCCTCCAGGGTCAGGGGAGGTTGACGGTTTTTTTCTTTTTTTCAAAAACATATCCCCGTGTTCATCCGCCGCCCATGATACATCCAGGGAAAGGCTCCGATTTTGACTTGATTTTTTCTTTTTTTTTCGTAAGGCAATAACTCCCCCCCCCCCCCAACACCCCAACAAAAAAAAAAAAAAAAAAAAAAAAAACCCCCCCCCCCACAAAAAAACCCCCCCCCCCCCCCCCGCTCGCTCCGCCATGCCCGTCGCACCCAATCCGGTCACCCCCCCCCCCAACACACACACAAGAGAAGAAAAAAAAAAAAAAGAGGCCCCAGCTCCTCAGAGAAAGGTGTTCTGCATACTGAAGTTTCCAATCCCTGATGCGTCATTTGCATCTGATGACAAAGTGTGTCAAAGGCCCCACTCGCGAACGTGCCAATGCAGATAGATAGGTTTTCATAGGTCGTAAGGTTCCGTTCCGTTTTGTTTTTCGGTTGTATTGTTGTTGTTTTGTCTCCCTGTAGTCTGGTTAGGATATCTGGTTTTCATCCAGACGACCCGGGTTCGAATCCTGGGACGGAATTCTGTTGCACTGCCTGCTTGGCCTCGGATATTTTATGTCGGACGTCTGGGATATCTGCCAGCCAGAAAGAGATGCGCTGTGATTGTAAGATTAGAGGGACCCCATACAGGGGGGTGTTGTTGAAACCTGAATTCATGCAAATACACATGCAGTGTCTGCATTGCTTTTAAAGTTTAAATCGGAATAAACTGCTTTGTGTGACCTGCTCTCCCTCTACACTGTCTCCGTTGTCGTCTAGTCTGGTTAGGATATCTGGTTTTCACCCAGACGACCCGGGTTCGAATCCCGGCAACGGAACTTTTTTGCACTACCTGCTTGGCCTTAGACACAGCTTATGATGGATGTGTGGGATATCTGCCACTGCTTGACCTTTTTTCATTCTTTTTTTATTCTTTTTTTAATAAGACAGCGTCTCGGTTCCCAGCAGGTGCTGTCTTGCACACAGCTTATGATCGATACGTGGAATATCTGCCAGTCAGAAAGAGACAGGCTGTGATTGTGAGATTTGTGTGACTCCACCACACAGGTGGTAGTCTTCAAACCAGAAATGCATGTGCAGTGTGCACTGGTATCATAAACCACCTTTTGTTTAGACTTCCCCGCATCTCCATTACCATCTTGTTTGGATGACAATCTCTGTGCGACAAGTATCTCTGTGCTGTCTCTCTGTTCTCGTCTAGTCTGGCAAGGGATATCTGGTTTTACACTTGGATGACCCGGGTCTGAATCCAGCAACGGGACTATCTTGCACTGCCTGGTTGGCCTTACGCACATCTTATGATGGTATGGAATATCTGGCATCAGAAAAGAGAGGGACTGCGATTGTGAGATGGGAGAGACTCCATAAAAGGTGTTGTTGTTGAAACCAGAATTGACGCAAATGCATGTGCGGTGTGCATCGACATCAGAAACCAGATTCTGTTCATTACTTCTTTCAATTTCTTCCTCAGACTTTTCAC